AATCTTCAAAATCCATCCCTTGTAAAGCTATGGGTGGGTGCTATTTATAGGCACCTCATGATGTAGGATGGAGTCAATGATGTCTTTTGTTGCTTCTCTTTACACAATGTAAGTGTGGTCACCTTCTCCGCCACTTGAAAGAACTTGGAGTGGAATTTGTTAACCATTTCCTCCCAACTTCGGACAGAGTTTGGGGCCAAATTAACATACCAACTATATGCTCGATCAGTGAGGGACTTAGAGAATTCTCTTAGTCGGAGGACGTGGTTTGAACCATGAATACCCAGAGTCTCGATGAATCGCACAACATGTTCTTGAGCATTTCCTTGCTTGCCATCAAACTTGATGAACTTCGACACTATAGACCCCTCAAGGTATGGATAGCTCAGCATATCAATAGGGTAAGGCGGCTTGACATCCGGATCAGGCAAAGAGGGTAAAGTCCTCTTGCCCCGTTCGAGATCGAACATGTCTTGCACATCAGCCAGAGTGAGAAACTGTTAAGGGAGAGAGTTTGATGGTGGTATTCCCGAAACTTGGCTTATGGACTCGAAGACTGAGCTAGGGGCGACTTGGCCATTCTGGTGTTACGAATTCATCATTGGTGAGGACATTTGACGATACTGGCCATCAGCGCCTATGGACATGCCAGTTGGTGATGGGACAATGAATTGAGGCCCGTAAAGTCCACCGCACGGCGCAGCTATACCGGGTTGGGCTTGCAAATTTGTTGTCGGCACCAAAGGAGGCCCGCTTGGTGTTTGAGTAACATTTACTGGTGGCGTAACAAGATTAGGTACGGGCAGAGCTCCCTTTTGCGCCATCATGCCCCTTATATTTTCCTAGACACCAACAGTCGTCGAAGTGCCATTCATTACACCAGAACCTCCCCTAGTCACCATTGGATCTTGGCTTGGTACGCCATGGAGCCCGGGCGTGGGCAAACTGCTGCCGCCTACTGCGGATTGAGCATGTGTTACTATGGCCGTGTTGCCATGAGCCATAGGCTGATTGGGGCCTACTTCTCCTTGGATTTGATTTTGCGCTCCGGCGAGAATAACTCCACCACCAATTTGATTTCTGTTTGGCGCCGGTGCAAAATTAGAACTCATCACCAACATGGTGTGAGTGAGATTCTGAAAAGTGGTAAGAATCTCCTGCTGAGTATTTTGAAGTCCTTGAATGGCTTAGAGCAAAAGTGGTTGATCTGGAGCCATAGTCCTGTCATCACCACCATTAGAGGATCCTTGTTGGTGAACTTCATCTTCTCTCGTCATCTTTGTTGGAGTTGTGTGGGTTCCAGATCTCGTTGAGACCATTAACCAATCCGCCTCCCCAGCAGAGTCACCAAATGTATGAGAGGGTTCAAGAACGTTGTTGGAATATTCGAAGATCTTTGAAGAAGACTCGAATTCCTTTAAAAATTGTGAGAGGCTTAGATTCTTCAATAGTCTCAACTAAGAACACAAAAGAAATGAGATGATCGAGATAAGAGATTGGGTGAAGAAGAAGGCAAAGTAGCTAGAGAGAGAATAATGGCAAGGCTCTCCCATGGATCTCCCACGGATCTCCCACTTTCACTCTCAAGGTTGATAATGGAGAAGGGAAATTAGTTCTTTCCCAAAAATTGTCTCTCCAAAATCCATTCCTTGTAAAGCTATGGGTGTGTGCTATTTATAGGCACCTCATGATGTATGATGGAGCCCATGTGCAAGGCACATGGGGAATATTATCTCTAATCACGTTGTTCGAGGAGGTGACCTCTCCGAAAATGAGAAAAATCCCGAAGAGGAGATCAACCTCTCAGCGAACCCTTCTTCTTAGCCACACCTAACTAATGATCCCCAATCATCCCAAAGGGCTGAGGTAGTCCTAGAGGACTCCCTGCCACTAAATAATGTCGAGTCTCATGGACCCCCCGGGGTCGTGCCACCTTGACCTGGGTATAGGCTAGTTTAACCGAAGAGTGAATTTATCTCCACTCATCGTCCTCGGGATCGGGTCCTTTGTTCGAACTCCATTACGCCCATGGTTCTGGTGCATAGATCCCGCAAAGCTCCAAACCCGCAAGTAAAATAATGTGGAGTTTCCCGTGATGTTTACTCATTATAAATAGAAAAATTATCAAAAAACAAGAAGTAAGAGAAATAATTATAAAGTTATGAAAATACAATCCCTTTACACAATTTATACATAAATCACTTATACTTAGGGGTGATAAAGAACCAAACAACTCAAGTTTGCCTTATTAAAAGGTCATTCGAGTTCGATTCATTAAATAAACAAGTTAAACTTAAACACATTTTCGATCTCGTTAAAGTTTTCTAACCAAGTCTGAACAATTTAATTGCTCGTTCGACTCGGTTCAATAAGTTTAAAATTATATAAAATATCAAATTACTCGAACTTGACTCTATAAAAACTCGTTTGAGATCAAACAAATTTTGAAACTCGTTAAAGTTATCAAACAAAACTTAAATAATCAAATGTTTGACTCATTCGGTTCGTTTATTACCCTTACTTATACTTTAATGAGTTTACAATTATTTTTTAAAATTTCATATTTTTCTATATTTTTCTTTATAAATATTCTATAATTGATTTTATGATTTATTTTTATTTTTATTTTTATTTTTTTTGGGTGCAAATATCTTTTTTTTCCTTAAGATAAGAAATTACATGAGACTTTTCTGGCCCCATATCTATCAATGTCCCATGCTCGGACCACATGCTACATTGACTATTTCCAACAATTTTACTCTTTTTTTGGGTGTAGATGGATCCAATAATCTAGTTTGAGTTTGACTATGCAGCTAACAAACACAACTTCCCTTTCTTGATAGCCTTCATTTCGTTGCTCTTTATTACTCAATTTATTTAATTTTTATACTTTAATAAATTAAAAAAATAAATCATATTGTATTTGGTAGCCTTTAAGAAGCTAAAAAATCTCAAAAATCCAACTTGTCTATTAAAAAAAATTGGAAAACCAACAAATATCTCAAAAAAATCTGAACCCAAAAATTTCAAAAAGAGAATGCATTACAAGTCAGTTATTTTGTATTTTTTTAAAAAATGTAACAAAGTCGCTAAATATGAAGCTATTACAAAACTCAAAAAATCATATATGTATGAAATATTATTATTTATTTAAAAATTTTGTTAAAAAGTATGAGCATTTCTACAATAATGTCATGTTTCAAACCGCATATGTCCGTATTATATCTAAAAAATTATCTATTTATATGTGAATCGATTCAGGTTAGATAGATTAGATGATTCAAATACATGAGAAAATGGATGGACAAATGACTTTGATTGGACAAGATAATTGGCCAGTGGTAAGCTGGTCATAAGATTAGGTTTTGAATTAACGAAGTAATTGTGGTTTTTCGTTGTAATTTAGCATTAGGTTGACGTGATGGGGTTAGAATTAAAATAGTTAAAAATAAAATAAAATTAAATTAAATTAATTTTTTAATTTTAGATTAAAAAATATTATATTTAAATTATAATTATTTTTTTTTTTCTTACAAAAATTAAAAAAGTTAAAAAATTCATCTCAAATAAAGACTAAAATAATTAAAAAATTAATCTACATTCCAAACGTAACTTTAATTTATTAATTCCTAACATTACGGTTAAAAAAAAAAAAAAAAAAAAAAAAGAGAACCCCGGGCTTAAAAAAAATTAGAAATTTATGAGATTTTAGGGGAGGGTGGACAAATATAAAAGCAACTTTTTTGAGCCCCAAACTTGTAAGACAGCCCCGTGGGTTTTGACACAAGTCATCTTGCTCAAAACTCCCACTTTGCATATTTTTCTCAATATTCTAGGGAATTTAACGGTATTAAGTGTACTTACAGCCAACCTATGTTAGCTTCTAAATATAAATATTTCACAAAAATGCTATAAATCTTAAAAATTTTATCAAAAATTCTACCAAATGTCTCACATAGGTGTGGGATCCACATGGAACCCACATTATATGAGTTCCACATCCATGTAAGACATTTAATAGAATTTTTAGAATTTCTAACACTACTCAATATTTTAACAAAAAGTTGAAAGCATGTAAAGTGGTTCCCCCCTCCCTTTTCAACTGGGTAAAATTAATCACATCATGGTGAAATTTATTTTTGGTCATTTTGGAGGACTTAGGGGACCATACCACACCACACCACACCAACAGTGTCCCAAAATGAAATGGGGGTATCTGTAATTTTGTCAAACCTGGAGGGGTGTATATGTAATTTGCCCTTCTTTTAAAGAGGAATGACTTTGAATTGAATGAAATTTGAAAACAATTTATTCTTATTTTATTTTTACATTTTGAATGAATATAAAAGTCAATGAAAAATTACTTTTAAATAAATTTAAAAATTCTGAATGTTTTATTTTAATTATATTGATAGATAATGAATAATTTTGATGATTTAATTTAAAATTTTAAAAAATATACTTGTATTAGTTTATAATTTTATTTAAAAGATGAAGATTTTAAATAATTTATTTGTTTTAAGAATTGATTTTGTTGTGTTTGTAATTTTATAAATTTTAATTTATTAATTATTAATATTGAGCATTTTAAAAAATTAAAAAAAAAAGAACCAAAATAAAAATTTATAAAACGAAAAAAAAGACCCAACAATAAATTTCTAAAAAACAAGTCCAATTCACACCAACCTGCTCGCAATCTTCCGTACATCTGTAAATTTTATCTGTACAAATCACAATCTGTACAACAAACAATTACCGATTTAATTTTTTTTAAACCGCACATATGTAAACGGTTCAAAAATGCAAATCAAACCGTCAAATCACGACCACCCTGCTAGGAGTTCCGTTATTTGAATCCAAATCTCCATCTGTATCCCACAAAAAGAAAAGAAAAGAAAAAAAAAATCCAAATCTCCATTAACACCGCTTTGTCAGAATCGGAGTAGAGAGATCCCAGCAATTCACACACAAAAATTAAAAAATAAAATAAATCAAACCAAAATAAAACCGTGATTAATACGAGAATCTTATTACTAATATATTATTATTTTCATTTGAACATTTCAAATCAAGACCGAAACGGTTACAAACCCCCAAAACGCCAACACACACCAACCGATTACAGATCGGTGTTCAAACACAGAATCAGTCATCTCCTTCCTGCCTTCCTATATCTACACAGGTAGATTTAAAGAGAGAGAGAGTTCTAGAGAGAGAGAGAGAGAGAAGATTAGGAAATAGTACGCTTGCCGGGACGATCGGCAACCTTGAGGGTCTTGTCGATGAGCTTGCGGGCCTGGCGGCTGCGAATCTCCACTTTCACGCTAGCGCTCTTGTCCATCTTTATGTAGGGTTTCTTCTTCGACTTCTTCAGAGATCTTACCTTCGACTTTATCGACTCCACTAAGTTCTCCAACTGAATCGCCATTTATATATATATATATATATATCGAGTTTCGATTTCGAAACGCTCGCTGCTCAATACATGTTCTTGTTACTATGACAATTATACGAGAAGAGAAGAGGAAAAGGTTTTATAGGATTAACAATGGATGAGGATTTTATGCTACAATTGTTTCAGTTGGCGGTTGCCGATTACCAAGGAATGCAGAGCAGCTGTGCGACTTTCACTGCCGCCACATCTCTCTCTCTCTCTCTCTGCCTGCCACCATTTGCATTTGCTGTTGCTCTGTCATTTGGTCTTTTTATTCATGCCTTTGTAAATAATAAGTCCTTTGTTTACCATAAAATTACGGATTAGCCACTGGGCTTTTCTTTTTCTTTTTTTTTTTTTGGTTAAACAAATTGTACTCACTTTCATTACGGATTAGCCTCTCCCTCCTCTCGGGTCCAGTCCGGATTTGGGATTGGATTGTGTGTCGTGCTGGGTGTTTTTCCGATTTTTTTTTTAATTATTTGAATATTACATATTGAGGAATTTGTTTAGTTTATCATTTAAAAAAATTAAGTTAATCAAAAATCAGCAATTCTATGATTAGATATGAATTGTTTAAAAAAATTATCAAAATTATATTAATCGTTTATTTTTTAAAAAATAAATGTGCTCTTGTTATAGAGTTATAGATTTTCAATTAATTTAATTTTTTGTATTGATGATCTATTCAACAAATCGTATAATATGAATAATTCAAATTATCAAAAGAAATTCTAAAAAAATTCCCACCAAAGAAATATTGATTTCTTCTGTGTCTTAATCACAGCAGCATCCCTTAGTTTCTCCAATCCACTTTTAATAATGGAGGCATTAATTTTGTAGATTGGACAGTGTTGTTTAAGCTCATGAGACTCACGACGTATCTCGTTTTAATTATTAAAAATATTCATTTGATTGGATATTTTGTATATATATCTAATAAAAATTAGGTTAATTCGATAATAGAAACATATTTAATTTATCACAATTGTTACAAAAAAAAAAAAAAGATAATTTATTTTTAAAAACACAATTTTTTTTTGTGACAAATACAACAAATTGAATAAGTTACGATAATCGAATCAATTTAATTTTTTAGATGATATACACAAAAATCTCGACAAGATGAGCAATTTGGATGATTGAAACGGCCCATGATGGTCTCACGGGCTTAAACACTGCTCTCCAATTTAGATTATAGACTGCAGGAATACTCATCCTTTAATAAAATTAAAAAATTAAAAAATAATGCAAATTGTATAGAAATACAAAAATAAATAAGATAATATATATATTTTAGTATAAAAAAATAACAATAATATTTCAATTCATATGACTAAGGAACTAATAAGGGTAATAAGACTAAAATTTTTAAGAAAATATAATTATATATTTGTGAAAGTTAAGGGGCCATTTGGAAAAAAACTAAAAAATTAAAAATCAACTTTTAATTTATTTTGAATCATATCACCTCTCATATAAAAAATTCATTTTGAATCATATCACTTCTCATACAAAAAATAAAAAAAATTTAAAAAAATTAAAAATTTAACTTTTAACCAACTTTTCAAATCACCTCTAAGTATTTCCTAGTGACATTTGAGCATAAAAATAATAAAAGATAGAATACGTATTTTAATCTAATAAATGATGACTGGATGACATAAATTTAAATTTTATGAAATTTATATTGTAAAGCAGCACAATGCACCTATATCAAAATTGTAATATTAATCGTACTTTTTCATTACTCGAGAGGGGCAATTACTTATAATTTAACCGTTATCATTTAAAGAAAAATCTAAATTAGATTGCTTAGGATAAGATAATAATAATAAAATAAAAAAAAGTGGGTAACTGATATGTTCTTATCTGGGAAAACCCAACACAAAAGAGGCACAAATGAGCTGTTGTCCAGTTCCAAAACCTGTTTGAGACCAGCTTGGAGTACAATTTGTAGCTAATCCGACTTATTTTCGCTAATTCAACTTGTTAATTTATGAAAAAATAAAGTAGATAAGAATTTTTTTTTTTTAAATGAGAAAGCACAAGAATTAATATGTTGCATAATAAGTCGTCAATTAAAATACATTATAGTACAAAATAGATTTCCAAAGAGATAAAGAGAACTTCTATGCACGAAGACAAAACCTCTACATAGAGAGGTATTATTTAAAATTTTAAAAAAAAAAAAAACTATCAAACAAGCATTACCAGACACTTTCACGATCCGTTCATCGCCACAATTGATAACTTTAAGGAAAATGTCTCGTAACTCAAATCTTGTGGCTCAAAAGTGGCTCAAATGGCCAAAACTTTTTGGCCATTTTTATGTTGTTCTGTACTCAAAACGACGTCGTTTTGGCCATTTGAGCCACTTTTGAGCCACAAAATTTGAGTTACGTAGTATTGTCGTAACTTTAATTCCCGACTCTACATTACAAAATAAAATATTATGGATCTAAGGTAGTCGTCTAGTGTATAAAAGCGCGTTTAACAGTGTCAGATCTTGATTAAAAATGAAATATGAGTAAAGATTTGAAAGCTTCATTAATGACATATAATTTGATTGTATTTGTCTTAAAAATAATAAAAGGTAAGCACATCATCAAAATTAAAAATAATAAACGGCCAATATGATTTTGAGAATATTTTATTTATTTTTACTAAAAAATTATGATATCAATTTGATTAATTACATTTGTTATGATTTTGGAATTGCTGAGTCAAATTTTAATGCATTGTTATTTCACTTTTGTTTGCCAACAATACCTTTCTTTTAATGCCTACTGTGTGGGTGAAAATCTGACCACACTGCAATCTTAGTATCCAGCTGGAGAGCACTGGCAGAATAGATGGCACCTGACTAACCTGCAACAGAAAGAGAAGACTCCGGTGGTGGTTCGCCACCCGGGGATACTCCGATGATCAAGTCAGTACTCAATATCTCTCAAAGATAATCAATAGTGCTAAACTCACTAGCTTGAGCATAAAAAGACATACCTTAGACCCATGGGGTGCCTCTCTTTTATAGCCAACCCAATCTTAGTCCCAATGGAAGCCTAACTTCAATGGACTCAGGGTTACTGCTAATCTTGGACTCCCAATAGGATCAGGATAAACTCTTTAAGAGTCTCATCTTTACCCAAACTGAAGTCTCCTCCCATTCTAGGACTCTTGTTCTTTACCCGCTTATCTAGGATTCCGGTATTCTCGTTGATAACCTCGGCCTAACCAAGATCATCTCGGCATCATGACCAGGACACGTGGCACCTCGGCTGGCACTTCGGTGACACCTCGGCCACGTGTTGTCATTCAAAAATTATGTCCCATAACTGCCCCCTAGGTTCTATTACCTCGGCATCTTGAGGTGATGGAACCTATATCATTCCCCCATTTAGCACGTCGGCTAAGCTTGCTTCATCATCTATTGCCGAAGTCAGAACTCATTGGCTCAATATGATCGAAACCTATAATCTACTTTCATCAATACTTTGGAACCAACAACCAAGTTCGCCCAAGTTTTTCAACCGAAACCGTCCTCCTAGTCGAGGTATTTGATTCATTAAATCAAAAACTCCAAGTGTTTTACCACGCGTATGAACTGACATGTACAATATTTCAACCGAAACCGTCACGCATCTTTCCTCTACGGAGCTGTGTCTGATATGCGTCATTAAGTCGTCTCGCACTTACTTGCGCTGTCTGACAAGCACGTCGTCCCAAGCACCATAATTGCCATTTTGCCGCCATTTCATGCTCTTGATCAAAATCAACCCTCTCAAATCTTCCATTTGCTGCTTTTGCGAAGCTTTCTGCAACCAGTTTCACTCTCTTCCTCCGGTGAGGCTTTTGTTGATCCTTTTCGATTGCTGTCGCCGTCTGATTTCGGCGATCCTCATACCGGCTTCACTTTTTTTGATAAGCCACTGTTCCTCCTGGTTTCAATTTTTGTTGCTCTTCAAGAGTTTTTGCTTCATTACTTGTTGCCACTGCTGTTTTGCTCAAGTATTCGATTTCATGAATCATGTATCTCAGTGTGTCTATTTCATGATTTTGTTTTTACCCAAGTCTTGAATACACATACTGTTCACAACTTTCTTGCACTTTTGCCACTATTCTTGGCCTTGTACCCTTGCATACACTCTGTCACAGTGTTCTTGATGATTCACCACTATTTTTGGCTCTAAATTTTCTCTTCTTGTCTTTTCTTGTTGTATTTCCAGATTCTTGCCCTCGTTTATGTTTTCTGCATAGTCCTAGAACCACATCCCTTCTTGGAATAAATGTCGAGATAACAGTAGAGAAGCTTCCCCAACTGACTACCGAGGTTGAACTACCGTCAATCGTCGAAGCAAATCAGTCCAACGTTCTTGCTTTAGTCCCTAGTTCTTAGGGTCTTCATTCTTGTACTTTTGTTGTCTTTGCATATGTAACTTCTTTGCTTCTAAACAATGTTTGTTGTTCGCCGATGCGCCACTGCTTTGTATTTGAACAAGAAATCACTTTACCAGGTTGAAGTGCTTCTTTTAATGCATGTTTGTATTTTTCTGAGTATTGAATGCTTTCTTCTGCTTATTGCCTGTATGCTTCTCCATACTTTAGAATTTTTTCAACTTTTTTCGAATATATCCTGCAAATCACTTCGGGGTAGTACACCTCAGATAAGCATCGCTTCGGAATTATCATTAGGTAGACACCTTGGATAAGCATCACTTCGGAATTATCATTGGGTAGACACCTCGGACTAACATAACCTTGGTACTTTATTTCTACAAGTGTGTTCTTTAACAGAGGTATGCAAGTGTTGCTTCCTCATTTGTACTTGCCTTCTTTTATACATGCGTCACTTTTCTCAACTTTCTAAGCTTTTAACAAGCTAGTTGGTCATCTCGGATGATCATATGTCGAAAAACGTCTTTTAGTGTGATCTCGGCTATACCAAACTTGTAAAATTGCTAAAAAAAATTCAACAAGTGGTAGACTTCGTAATCTTTAACTATTTCAACTTGTAAATTGTTTTAAAATTTCAACAAGTGGTAACATTATCATTCCTTCTCCTTGCCCACTAATGTGAACATAAGTTGCACTTAGGGTCACATTATGGAAGTTGGCTTCATGCCGCAGTCACAGATCCTTTCTAGCCGATGTGTTCTTCTTTTTACTTTTATATGGAAAAATAATTTGCATGTCTTCAATTTACACCTTAACTGTGTAATCTCCTCGGGGTGTAACACCTCGGTTGTACCCACT